ACCGAGCGCGGAGAGGGGAGGTGTTTGTTCCTAGTGCGTTGGGGCTGCGGGTTTCCCGCCTGCCAGAGGAACCGGCAAGGGGGCCTGCGCACGCAACCACGCAGCGAGGCTCTCTGCCGACAGGACGCAATGCAGACGCAAGCGGCCGCCACGCAGCAGGATGGCGTCGTGAACGGGGCGCCCCACCGGGTCCGCCCTTTTGCCGCAACGGGGATAATCTCCCGGGAAGATTGCTGTAGGGCACAGGCGGCCAAAAGCCTTTTTCTGTTGGTCTTTCCTTTTCTTTTGTTTCAGCTGCCTCACCGCGGAAGACGACGGTTGGGGTGCACGCAAGTGCCGCGGATGAGCATCGGACTCCAAGCGGGCCGGTGAGCCGGCGCCGTGAGGGTGCGGTGGAGTGCTTTTGGGGGTGGGGGGCTTTGGCTTAGAGCTGCCGTGGGTGGTGTTATTTGCGTGCAGCGTGCTGGGGGTGCGCCAACAAAAAAGTGGCGGGGGTGTGATGCCGCCGAGCGCCCGAATGCTGGTCGGAGTGGCGGGGAGGAGAAGAAGGCTGCGGAATTTCTGGGGCCGGGAGGTGCACCAGCAGCAGGTGACGATAGCGTACAACGACGTGTGCGCCGTGCGTGGTGGGTGAAGCGGCTTCGTGTTTCCTCTTCGGGCTCGCTGCGTGGCGCCTCACGTCCACGGGCCCCGTGGCGCGGCTGGGGAGCGGGCGGTGGTTGCGTTTGAGGTGGCGGTGCCACCGCGAGAGTTTGTGTGTTCTTGTGGCCGCACAACGAAGGCTTCTGCTGCATGTGTGGTTGCGTTGCTGCGGCTTTGATTATTCCAGGGTGACGTGAAAATAAAACAAAAAGAAATGTTGGTGGTGGGCGCCACTGCGGGGTTTTTTTTTAGCTTTTTTTACTTTGTTTCTGTGCTGCGCCCCACTCCCGCTGCACTGCGCTGAGGGAAGTGGGGGCGGCGTTGGGCGGTTTGTGGGGGGCCTGCGGCGGGAGTTTCGGCGGGCACTTGCGCCTCCCTCCTTTCGGTTTGTTTCCTCCGCGCGAAGGCCGCAGACGTTTGCGGCGTGAGTCCCGTGCGGGGCGTGTGGGGGGTGCCTTTCTTTAGGCCGCTGCTCTTCTTCTTCCGGCTCCTTCTGCTGTACGTTTGCTCCCCCCCCCCCGCTTCTCCCTTTTGCCAGCAAGACACACACACACGCACGCCGAAGGAAAAGAGAGACCAAACGCTGCTTTTTGCCGCTGTGCGCTTCGAAGGCTCTGCCGCTACCGCCGCCAGCAACACACCGCACACACGCACGCACAGCCGTCGCTGCCTGAGCGGCCCCACCGCAAGGAGAG